CCAGAGCCATGCATTCCTCCAAAACCCACTAAACGGTGTTGATGGGATACTTCAACGCAAAACTAGGCACAAGAGAAAACGGTGAGCTGAAGTTACGGAAATTTGGAGTAGGGCAACGGAACCGAAGGGGCCAGCAGCTGGCCGACTTTATGGAGAAAGAGGGACTCTTTATGATGAACTCTTTCTTCCAGAAGCAGCCTCACAGGTAGTGGACCTAGTCCAACCCCGACGGTTCGACAAAAAATGAGATTGACTTCATTATGACGACCAGACTCCAACTGTTCAGAGATGTCTCAGTGATCGCAAGGGTGAAAACTGGCAGCGATCACCGAATGGTTAGAGGCACACTGAACCTAAACGATAAGTTATAGAGGTATCGTCTAATGAAGTCAACGCTCCGTCCCCCTCGTGCTCTAATCCAGAATTCCGAAAGCTTTGAGCTCGAGTTACGTAACCGCTTTCAGTGCCTAGAAGATTGCAATGCAGTGGACGATATGAATGACAAGCTCGTGGAAACTGTCCATGCAGTCGGAGCTAAGTTCTGCACGACCCGCCGTATAAGAACGCAAAAACTCTCCGATCACACTCTTAATCTCATGGCTGTTAGACGAGAGTGGGCTGCAGTCGTAAACAGATTTGGCAGCATACAGGCAACTGAACAGACAGATCTCCAAATGCATGCGGCGTGACTTACGCAACTTTAATACTGCTCGTATTAAAGAAGCGATCGAGCGGAACCAGGGCTCCAAATTCTTTGCCAGAGATCTGTCTGCCAGAAAGAGCCAACTGTCAACAGCGGAGCTTTTGAAAGCGAGTGGGACACCGGTATTTGAAGTCCTTCAAAAGCTCTTCAATTCCGTCCTTCGTGGTGGCACTTCTCCGGAGGCGTGGAGCAGAAGTGCAGTGGTCTTGTTCTTTAAGAAACGCGACAACGCTCTCTTGAAGAACTACAGACCGATTTCCCTTCTAAGCCGCGTCTACGTGCTGTTTTCGAGAGTCATTACGAATCGTCTCGCACGTAGACTCGACGACTTCCAGCCTCACGAACAAACCGGTTTCCGAAAAGGCTTCAGTACCATAGACCACATATATACCCTGCGGCAGATTGTACAGAAGTCCGAAGAGTACAATCTGCCACTTTGCCTGGCGTATGTGGACTATGAGAAAGCCTTTGATTCCGTCGAAATTTGGGCGGTGCTACAGTCTCTTCAGCGGTGCCAAGTTGACTGTCGGTATATCGAAGTGCTGAAGTGTATGTACAGTAGGGCTACGATGGCTATCCGAGTACAGAACCAGAGTACGAAACCTATCCAACTGCAGAGAGGTGTAAGACAGGGTGACGTTATATTCCCGAAACTCTTCACCGCTGCGTTGGAAGACGTTTTCAAGCTACTGGACTGGAAAGGATACGGTATTGACATCAATGTCGAGTACATCACTCACCTTCGATTTGCCGACGATATAGTCCTTATTGCAGAATCGCTGGAGGACGTTAGCAATATACTCAATGACCTCAATGGTATCTCCCAACGGATAGGTCTTAAGATGAACATGGACACAACAAAGATCATGTTTAATGTCCATGTCACACCTATGCCGGTAGTTGTTGGGAGCACTATGCTCGAAGTTGTTGACGAGTATGTTTACCTGGGACAAATAGTCCGACTAGGTAAGTCCAACTTCGACCGAGAGGTCAATCGACATATTCAACTGGGCTGGGCAGCGTTCAGGAAACTACGACACATCTTCTCGTCAGGTATACCTCAATCTCTGAAAACTAAAGTGTACAACCAGTGCGTGTTGCCAGTGATGACTTACGGATCTGAGACGTGGTCCCTCACTGCTGGCCGTATGAGGACGCTCAAGGTCGCTCAGCGAGCTATGGAGAGGGCTATGCTCGAAGTTTCTGATATCGTGATAGAATCAGAAATTAGGATATCCGCAGTAAAACCAGAGTGACCGACATAGCCCAGCGGATTATTAAGCTGAAGTGGCAATGGGCCGGCCATATAGCTCGAACAACCGATAACCGATGGGGAAGAAAAGTTCTCGAGTGGCAGCCTCGTACCGGTAGGCGTAGTGTAGGGCGACCCCCCACTTGATAGAGTGACGACCTGGTAAGACATGCAGGAAGTCGATGGATGCAGGTGGCTCAGGACCGTACTTTGTGGCATTCCTTGGGGGAGGCCTATGTTCAGTAGTGGACTTGTGAAGGGCTGTAATGATGATGATGATGATGACTTCTTAAACAGTATTAGCGGAATTCACGAGAGCTGCTAAATCTTGATGGAGACATACTATTTGAAGTGGCAACATTAGGCCTAGACAGGTAAAATTTAATTTTTTTGACTATAAGTTTTCCAAAAAATTCACATTCATCCTCTCCTTCAGTCTTTCGGTTAATAGCATTATTAAGTGTTTGATAAGCTTCAGTCATTTGTTGACTAGCCCGTTGCAGATGTATAAGTTTTTTCGGACACAGCATCATTAAAGTCGTCGGATATGATTGAAGTTTCTTTCATTATTCCCCAATACGAAGACTGAAAGCTGAAGCTTCCAGGGGGGTGGAGTATGTTCGTGGAGTTTTTATTTTTTTGTTCTATTTTAGTCTTTAAATATTTGTAAAAGAAGAAGAAAGACAGATGTCATGAGTATTCAGAAAAGAGAGAATGTATTTTGTTTTTTCCTGTGTGTTTTCTCTCCGCTAGGAGTAATAGTGTTCTGTGATGTTTTCTAATATAGTAATTTATTATGAAGACGAAGATTTTTTTATTCAAACTGAAATCTTAACTACCACGCGTTCTGCGCGTTAACATTCAGGCTTAATAAATATATAATTGTATACTTACTGTGTTTATTGTTGACTTGCACTTAAATATTGGTCCAAGAAGTTGTCCGTTATATTATATGCAAACCATACTGGACGATATACGTCTTCCAATCCAGCACCGGATTTTATGGTTGCTTGTACTTTTCTGTATACTACGGCTAACGAGAATCGATACCAAATGTAAATAAAACCAATTCAAGTTTGTTAGGAACAGCAGAGGTGCGTAACTTTTTCATAGTTAGATTGCATATTTAAGTAGACAATATAGTTTTAAAATTTTCTATCAAACCAAAAAAAATAGAGTTTTTATAAATTTTGTTATTATTTGAATTATTGTATAATATAGATTTAAATTAAATAAACACTTTCTGCGCCATTTCTTTTCTGTATGGGTATTTATCATTAGGCTAAGTTTCTTTAACATATTTGTAGGTATTAATAACCATATTTTTTTCATTCACAGTAAAACTAGTCACCTAAAATTAAAAATTAAATTAAAATAATATACATACTTTACTTACATGCATCTTTAATAAATTAAGATAAGTTTTATTATTACAGTTGTTGTTTTTTAAATAACTTTAAAGTACAGTCCGAACCAATGTGGTACGGAACCAATTTTACGTGGTAGAGCCATGCTGCAGTTATATTAGTAGTATAGTTGTAGCACGAATGGTTCGGCTCGACCGGAGAAGGACCACGCTCTCACAGAATACCAGCGTAAAATAGTAGCTTAATGCTGCTGTGTTTCGTATGGTGAGTGTAGAGAACCGGCGACCCTTTTTACTGGAAACGAGGTATTCCATCTTAGTCCTGTGACTTTGATTCGTAATCGAGGTTAGATGTAGATGTCTATGGGTCACAGCAACCACTTACCATCAGGTGGAGTTTGTGCTCGCTTGTCACCCTATCCTATAAAAAAACAAGAAGTTTTAATTGAAACTACTAAACAACATTCATATATATCCTATTCCTATACATGCCTATGGACGTTTCTTTTTCGGAGAAGTTAAATCTGTTGATTTATCTCTCGACGTACTTGGTTGTGATTCCATCGTTATCTACTCTTAATTAAAAACAATTATCAAAAAAAACCAAAATAACAATAATTAAATAAACAACAATTACTAAAATGGCCTCCCGAATGTTGGAGAACCCGTCTTGATACTGACATGTTTTTGCCTGGAAAATGAGACATTACGACAAACACACAAGATGGAAAGAGATAGATAATAGATTGTCAATTCCACAGTCGTTTTTAAGGTAAATGACCTTTCTTTCTGCTAGTTGGCCGTACTATAGTCGCCCCTATTAGTTGCTAATAAAGAATCTTTCGTCTTCTTCAGTTCTTCAATTGAAATTCCTGTCTCCAGTCGCAATCATTCATCGTGAACTTTTAATTTATCTTTAATATTACCTTTTCCCCATGGAGCAACTCCAAAAACAATAGTATTTATTCTTGTGACCAATTCATTTTTGGCTTAAGCATTTTGGATCCAATTTATACGTTTTTAAATTAAACAGCACAATGTTAACTTTATAGAAGTAAGCTGAGTAATGTACAGGTACAGGGTCGCTTCGTGCTCGAAACTTCGGTCCTTTGACTCGGGTGGAAAAAACCGACAACGAATGGAAGTCGATGCTCGAAATGAAGGGAAATGTCCCGTCTTTGCCGTTAGTACTCTTATTAGTTTGTGGTCTTTGCCCAACTTCGTTCAACTTTGCGAGTAGTGTACTGAAGGCAATAAATCATAGATTTAGTATACTAAAATACTATATATAATATCTTTGTTAGGTACATACTTATTGAAAAAAAAACGTCGCTTGGTCTGTGTCTATGGTTGCTTTTGCTTGTGAAATGTAGCTTGCTACATATTTATTTATCTATGGTGAAATGTGAATAAACTATTGACCTGTGTGTTGTGTGGTAATTTGTGATTTATATTTAATTAGGAGTGATTATATGCTCTTTGAATCACATTTTCAAGAATAGTTCCATTTACCTAAATCTGTATTGCAGACGTTTATACATTAGCGTTTTTCGTATCTTATTATAAATACACTTGTCAACTTGTCAAGTCATAGCATTCCGCTTTATAATGTTTTATTATATTAAAACCAAATGTGAATTATTATCAGTGTAATACGTGGTTGTCCGTTAAAGTTAAGCATGGCTAGTCCATCTCCACAAAGCAGCCCAATGCCGCCACCGCAGGCTCCCAGTCCGATGGGTCCGCCAACCCAAAGTCCTGCGCCACCGCAGTCACCACATAGTCCTTACAATCAGCAGCATGTTAATGGACCGCCGCCGTCTCATCCCTCTGCTGCAGGGCAGCCACAATTACCTAATCACATGCCATCTTCTGCCCCTCCTCATACAATTGCATCAAATGCGAATGGGCAGCCTAGTGTACCACAACAACATCCTGGAATGCCTCCAAGTGGACATCAACTTCCGCAACATATGGTTGGACCGCATATAACAGGACCACCTGGTCACCCTGGGTCTCACCCTCCTGGACCAAATGGTCACTCAAATTCAGCTCAACATCCAAGTATGCCAAGTCAAGGCCCTCCACATGGCTACATGCAGCATCAGATTGGTCATTTGCCTCCTGGTCAGGTAAGAATACTCATAAAGTACTTTCATATTGAACTTGAGCCATTATCACTATGTTGGTGTCTTCAAAGCTATTATTTTGTTTTCAGTAACAATATTTTTGTAAATTTTGCATAAACTATTTGTTTTTTAATACCCATTGCATTATAATGAGCTTATTCCTTTTATAAATACTGGCTGTATTGCTGGGTTGTTTATTGTTTTTTTTTTCTTCACCAGTCTAAAAGTCTTCTGCTGAACATGAGCCTCTATCATTGTAAAGAGGATAAGCCATAATTGTTATGCTTGTTAAGCAGATTGACAATTACATTTCATTTCATTGTCATTAAACACCATACTGTTTAATGACAATGAAATGCCAGGACTATTCATGAAATATGCTTTGCTACTATATTTTTATCACAGAGTTACTTGTGAAGAGTTTGGTTTTTGTAAGCTCAGTGAAGTGGCTTATTAAAGTTATTCGGCAGTAAATAAAACTATTTATATGGATTTTATCACATTTAACTTTTTTTAATTTATTTTGAAACCATGACGTTTCGGGTGCTATCTACAGCACCCATGGTCATGGGCAGTACCGTCTTTACTATAAGGGCACATTTGCTCATATAATCTGGAGGTCGCTGCATACAGGGTTAAACATCTCAGCACGCCAAGATTGCCCCCCGAAGTTGCTTGCAACATTAAAGGACTGTTCTGGAACTTCTTCGGGAAGCTTTCATGGCTCGAATAATCACATTATTCCTGCCCACACACAAAATACATGCATAGATGTAGATTTCCGGAAATCATCCTGTTGTAAACTAAAATAACTACTCCTGCGTTGGGCTATGTCGGTTACTCTGGTTCTACTGCGGATATCCTCATTCCTAAGTTTATCATGCAGAGAAACTCCAAGCATAGCCCTCTCCGTAGCTAGCTGTGCAACTTTGAGGTTCTCATACGACCGGCAGTGAAGGGCCACGCCTCAGACCTATAGGTCATCACTGGCAACATGCACTGGACTTACCTAGTCGGACTACATGTCCCAGGTAAATCTTAGTGCTTCCAACAACCACTGGCATATGTGTGACATGAACATTACATATGACTTTCGTTTTGTCCATGGTCATCTTAAGACCTATCCATTGGGGTCATCGAGCGTAGTGCTCAGTTCCTCCAGCGATATATCGTCGGCAAATCGGAGGTGAGTGTTGTACTTGCAATTGACGTTAATACTGTATCCTTTCCAATCCAGTAGTTTGAAATCGTCTTCCAATGCAGCGGTGAAGAGTTTCAGGGATATTATGTCACCCTGTCTTAAACCTCTGCAGTTGGATAGGTTTAGTATGTATGTTTATTGTATATGTACTCAGTCTGTTTTATACTTGGATAGCTATCGTAGCCCTACTGTACAAACATTGCAGAACTTTGATATACCAACAGTTCACTTGGCACCTCTGAAGGGACTGCAGCACCACTCAAATTTCGATGGAATCAAAGGCTTTCTCATAGTCCACATATGAAAGACAAAAGTTTTTTACTATAAGTGCTTAAAAATGAAACAAATTCACCTTTCATGACTTCCTACTAAAATCCATCAGTAACTTAAAGAATGACATATCTGAAACCTTTTGTTGGTCATTTAGCATCTATCCACGCATCAATTACAATTGATGAAATATGTAATATACATAATTTTGAAATTACATTAAACTTTATCAAATATTTTATTTTACAATTAAATACACTAAACACAAACTATTTCAACAAGTATTTACAAAAAACCTATTTACGAAAGCAGTGTTAAAAAACTTTAACATTCAATCGCCTACAACATGCTAGCTCCGACTGCGTATGTTACCCTGGGTGCCTCGTGATTGTAGGTAAATATTTCATGCAGGTAGCAAGAGTGGCAGAGGGCTGGCGATACAAAAAATTAATTCTCTTTCACTCATTTATATATTTCTGCATTCTAATTTTTTCACGTATTATATGAAGGTTAAAAATAACATTATTTACCTTATAAAATAATAGTAAATACATAAATAATATAATATGGACAAATAAAATAATGAAAAAGAAGTTTAATAACTTATGTATTATTAATAAAATAGTTCCTTTAAAAGACATTTATATAATACATGAATAATAACTATGTAGGAAACAAGTTTTATGTCACACTGATAGTTGCAATTGAACAATGGTCCATAAATTTCTTTAGCCATTATCAATGTTTCATTAAAAATAGTACACAATTGATGAGTAAGTGGTTCTATATTATCGGTTTTTTTTTTCCACGACCAACTGTCAAACTGTGATTACGTAGTGATCGTCTCCGCATTTTTAATTAGTAACGATAGTAGAAAAGTGACCGATCGGAAAAAAGTGCACTAAAAATAGCAAACAAACAGTGTTGATAAATTTAAACTAATAATCCTTTCGTGGGAAGTGATAAGTACAGTGAAATAACCATCGAAAATTTGCAAAATTATTTTGAAGTTATTAAATACCATAGACAAAAATTGGAAGTCCAACTACTGTCAAAACCCAGGCCAGCCCAGCCAGGTCAAGCCAAAATCTACCAATTTGGTAGAAAATCGGTACCAAGTATGGACGAACAAACAAAAATCCTGTTGGCCACTATAAAGGAAGAGATTGAAAAACAAAATGATAAACAAACCCAAACCATAACCGAGACTATCAGCAAAACTATTGAAGAGCAACTGTTACCAATAAAAAAGGAAAACGAAGCTATGAAGTCTGAGATTTTGCTACTAAGATCGAAAGTAAAATATCTGGAACTTGAAATGAGGAAAAATAATGTCTTACTGCACGGGGTTGAAGAAACTGAAAATAACAATCTAGAATTAATGAATACTGTAATAGAACTATTCAACGTTCCTTGCACAACAGAACAAGCGGAGGAAGAGAAACACGACTGATAAATGGGAACTTAGCAGCATATACAGAGTTGGGAAAAAGACAGAAGGCAAGATAAGACCTATAAAAATTTCATGTACCCTAACATGGAGAAGAAACGAAATCTTGAAAAAGAAGAAAAAATTCCCAGAAGGAGTCTACGTAACAGAAGATCTGTCTAAAGAGGAACTGGAAGAAAGAAAGACTCTTATCCCAAAAATGAAGGAAGCCAGAGCATCTGGAAAGTATGCAACAATAAGGAATGGCAAACTAATTATACGAGACAAAATGGAACCTGAAAAGAGGATCCCAATCCACCCCACCTTCTACTCCCCCAGACAACTTCAGCAAAGCCCGTGGAGAACCCAAGTTATACCAACCTGCTAAAATGTCGAGAATCAACCCAGCATAAAGACTGAGAAGCCAATCAAATTCGAATACAGAGGAGACGTCAAAAAACTAGAAATAGGCGGTAGTCGAAATAAAAACAGTAAAACAACGAATACCGCCACAACTAAATTAACATTCCCCAACCTGGCTGGTCCCTGTGGGGAATTAGACCACCACCCACCAACCTACAAAAAACCAAACAAACATACACTATTAAACAAACATACACTAGAAAACAACAAGGAAAACAACAACATTAACAACAAAGAAAAATGTAATGCCCCCTTTAAAGAAAGTATACAAATTGCAGCACTTAATGTTCTAACCCTAAAGTCGGACGAGAGTCTAACAGAACTAACTAAAGCATTAAATGATATCAAATGGGACATTCTGGGTCTGAGTGAAGTAAGACGAGCTGGAGAAAACATACAAGAATACGAGGACTTCCTTCTATATCACATAGGCGAAAAAGAAGGCCAAAATGGGGTAGGATTTATTCTCAAAAAGCACATGGAACAATATGTTGATGAGTTAATAGGAATTTCAGACCGTTTAGCAGTGCTAAATATAAAGTTACCCAATTACGAAGATATGTGGTCTGTTGTGCAAGTTTACTCTCCAACTGAACAAGCAGACAAAAAGACAATTGAAGAATTCTATGAGAATCTAAAAAGTACTATAGAGAGACATACGCATAAAAACTTAATAGTGATGGGAGACTTCAACGGCCAGACAGGTGAAAGCCTGCCAGAAGAAAAACGTGTTCTCGGACCTTTTACATATGGAACTCGACGAAGCAAAAATGGAACAAGACTCATTAATATGTCTTTCGAAAACAACCTCTATATTCTAAACAGCAAATTTAAAAAGAGAAGTTCAAGGAAATGGACATGGGTATCACCAGGAGGCAAATACAAAAATGAAATTGACTTTGTTCTCACCAACAAACCAATGTGTTTCACCGATTTAAATGTTGTGAACAAATTTAATTTCAACACGAACCATAGAATGGTCAGGGCAGATCTCACACTACGACATATAAAGACACAAAGACCCAGGAGGAACTTTGTTGGTAAGTTGAGTATTCAAAACCTAAAAGAAGCTGCAAATAAACTAACCGAAAGATGTGCAGACTTTGAGAAAGAAACCAAGAACCTAGATATTCAACAGAAATACGACTGGTTTGAGACTTCAATCAAACTAGCAAAAAGTGCCTGCACTAATAAAGAAAAGAAGAAAAGCTATTTATCAATAAAAACAAAAAAATCTACTCGAAGCAAGGAAACAAGTAATCAGTTCCAGAGACACAGAGAATCGTAGAAAACGCATATCAGAGCTGAGTAAAGATATAAAACAGAGTATGAGAAGGGATAGAAAACAAAACAGAAGAAAAAAATAGAAGAGCAAATCATTAGAACAGGAGGAACAAAAAAAGCATATAAAGAACTGTCAGAATCAAAAGATTGGGTTACAAAAGTTAGAAATGAGAAAGGAATAGAACAAAATAGAAGATCAGACATGAAAGATATTGCTACATCATACTATAAAGAATTATATGAGAACACACAAGAAGAACCTGGCGAATTAATAGTACTAAACGATGATGAGGATGAGAGCATACCCTATATACTGCAACGAGAGGTAGAAGTAGCATTACAGTCCCAAAGTAAAGACAAAGCCAAAGATGGCATTGAAAATGAAATCCTATTAAT